CACAGGCAGGCACATTTGCAGCGTGGTGTTAATAAACAAAAAGATCCTGTGATGCACAGTTTCAGGACTGCACGAGGCAGTTGCTCAGAGTTTGGCAGCCATCCCCTCGGCGTGCCCATCCTCCTGGAAGTGCTGAGGAGCTCTCCTCGCAGGCTTTGCAGCACAGGGCAGGGCAGGGACTCAGCAGGGCGGATTGCTGGGCTCCTCTCAGCAGCCTCAGGCTCCCACCCAAGGCAGGAGCCAGTTCAAGGTTGCTGTGGTGTTTGCAGAGCTCTGCCTGGAATTCATTTTAGCTACCAAGAGGCTGTCTGTCACTCCATGGCTGCCACCTCCCACTAGAGCTTCGTTCTGCTGCTAGACTGGAGCGTTAGCAAAGTGTTCCCTGCAGACCATGGAGGCCAGTGGTCTGCTCTTGATGCCCAATAAAATCCTTTTGGTTTCAGAAGTTCTTCATGGACGAATATTTTGGCCCTAAGGTGTTGTTTTGCACAGGTTTTGCTGGACACCGGTAAGGTCGGGGTTTTGTAGTCCATCAGAGAGCAAGTTGCAAATTAAATCCAACTTTGGCTAACTCTGCTTGTCTCTAAATAACAACAGCATGTTTTGTTGGGTTTTTTTTTTTAAAGCAGAATAATAGTGGGGCAAAAAGGAATGCATGCCTGAGCTATTTTCCTTTCTTTCCCCTTTCCATCAATCTTGTTTGTTGCTAATACACTGAAGAATTAATAACTGGTACATTAGATAAATCCTGGTAAAACACTGCCCTAATGTGCTTGTAGCAGCAGTAGCATGATGAGACAGCTACTGTAAGAGAGCTAATCCTGAAAGTTAGGCCAGCCCAGGGCTAGGCAGACTAATTCTTCCAATCCCTGAAGATATTCACGATTTTCATTCCTAACTGAGCTGCCTGTATCCTGTTTTCTTCTTCCTTTTGCATTAATCCATATTTATGTTTTCTCCTCCCCTTTTCCGCATCTTTGCCCCCAAGTGTTCCTCAGCTTTATATATTGAGTTTCCCTTGGCACGCCAGAAATCTGCTGATGAATACCACTTGTTTGAAAGTTGCATGCAAGATTTTTCTCCACAAGTGTTTTCTATGAAATCCAAGTGAGCAAGTATTATGTAGAACTTACCCATGGCTTCAAGCCTAACTTTTCGTTGTGTGCATATGATATTTGCAGTATACATCAGAAATACACTTAAGAGAACAACAGCAAAAATTGTCTGTGCACTTGGAGCATCGCTTGCTGGTTTGGATGTATCCAGAGGAAAAATATTTGAAGGATAGATTTAAAAAATAGGAAACAGCTTTCTGTAAAGATGAAAGCTATTAATCATTGAAACAAATGATCAAAAGAAGTTAGGGGATCTCCACCATCCAAGCTTTGAATTCAGTAATGGATGCTTGGCTGGAGAAGAAGCACTAACGGGTGGCATTTGGCCTTTGTTCCAGAGCAGACGAGTGAAGAATTTTGCCTTCAGTGTCTTCCCCCATAACTCTTAGGATTTTCCCTTGCTAGACCAGCTCTGACTGTTGTAGCTCACCCGTTGTGAATTGCTGTGTGAGTGCTGGGGACATCCTGTCCTGGCCTGCCCCATATTCCCACCCTTTTAAAGTCTTCAGCATTGGGAGCCCCTCCGTGCTGGGGTTGTGTGAAGGTTTCTTTTGTAACTGACCCTAAATGTCTCAGAGCAGCATAAGTTCCTTCCAAGGAAGGGAGATGCCAGAGCTGTGGTAATTCTTTAAGTGTATTTATGTGTCCTGTTTTTTACATATTTCAGAAATAGAAAAATCTAAGTGCATCTTCCAGTGCAGCAGAGATTTTGGAGTCTTCATTTCTGAGTTCAAGTTGATGTATGTTAGCTGGAGACAAAAGACTTAATTTCTGAAATTGCTGGATCTTGGTTGGTGTTAGGGTTTTTTTTCCCTCTCCCCTGACATGCTTAATCTTTTGTAAACCCCCTTTTGTGGTTTTGTTCAGGCAATTAATGTAGAAATGCAGGGTTCTTAAATCAGGATATGCAAGGCAGAGATGAAGTAACACACTGATTATATAATTAATTCTCAGTTGTAAATTCATTTTGATGGAGTTAATTCTTTCCCAGAGGCTGAGGACTAGTTTTGGTCCACCCACAGTGCTGTAATCAGCTAAGAAATAAAGGAGAAACAGGCCCTGAATTAATGGAAATTATCACGAGTGGTTTTAGGGAAATAATGACAGAAACAGGCAGGATATTTCATTTTCAATTCATGCAAAAGCTTCTGGGCTATGATCTTAAACTACTGGTATCTAAATTCAGTTTTCAAGCAGTATAATACATTGAGTCCAAAAGAAATCAGAAAGAAATGATAGCTGAAGAGGATGGAGAAGATTGTGTGAGTGGTGGCACCTTGCACGGATGAGGAAGTGTGTTTATTGGAAGATGTATTTTGGATTCTTTTTTTACATTTTCCACGGATATGGTGGTGTTCAAATACAGCCTTCTCTATGACAGTTACCCATTTACTAATAAATAGGGTCCAGTGACTGCCATCCTGATGGACTCTTACTGCTTCTGACAGTGTTTTGTGAGGTGCTGGCTTCACAAAGCATAAACAACACTCCAAAACCTAAATAATTTGGAAAACCTTATTTCTTGTACTTCATTTGTCTGCTACTCTGTTGCTTAACCAGTGACCTAATAATCTTGTCCATGTGTTTAGACTGCAGGTTTCCAGAACAAAACAACAATAACAAAGAAACGACGTTGACAAATTCCCAGGATTTTCACACGATTATGCACACTGTGCATACACACAGTTGCAGCCTATACTTCTCTCAAATAACTGATTTTATTTACAAGGTTTTCTAATCCCAGTGTGTCTCTGCCCTTACATTGGTTGGCCATATTTTGCATCAGAAATTGAAAGCTCTGTTGTCCAGGGGTGATTTTAGCATGCAGCCAGGTGAGCAGGGCATGCAGTTGTCATGACTTAGGGACTGGCAGTTTCTGGTTTATTTTCTGGCTCTGCTTCGTGGCTGCAGCAGGAGTTGTGTTGTGTTGGTTAAACTGTGTTATCACCACATCTCTGAGCTCCATGAGGACGTGTAAATGAAGTCAGCATGATGCAGACAGAGCTGGCAGATGATCTCCCTTACAGCTCTGGGCAGCAAGAGTAGGCTTGCCCTGCAATATCACTTAAATAAAGTGGTCTGCCTGAATTTGGACAGAATGAAATTCCCACTGTCTGGTTTTCCATGAGCTGCTCCCCAAATTCTGCTTCCAAGTTTGGTGGAAAAAAAAGCCAACTATGGCTAAAGGACCGTTGTACCATTCCAGTGAAGAAATAGTTAAATATAATTTCAATGTGTCATTTACATTTGAGCCTAACGAGATTATAACTGGAGCTGTGTGAAAATGACTTTTTGGTGCTATTTTCACATAAACTGACTATTTATTTATTTATTTTGTTCTGGGGTTATTTCACACCCCAAGGGTTTCATTTTTGTTGGTTGTTTTATTAATGTAAAAATACTCATTTTCACACCCAAATGTGTGATTATTTAAAATGCTGCTTCTATTCATTGTGCACTGACTTGCAACCTAAAGGCAAATATTCAAATGTCTGGAGCTTGATAACTCCGTGGTGGTTTTGGCTGGCTTTTCAAACTCAAAAATTGCTGGGGAAAGAAATGGGCAGTAAGTAATTAAAAGTGGTGTAAGGGCTGCATTCCCATGCCTGCCTCTCAGCATCCAAGGATGGGTCACGGGTTATTCCAGCACCCTCTATAGAGTGGTGCCCTGTCTCAGCCCCATAAAGACCCTCTCACAGCATGGTAGTGCCAAAATTCTGGAACAAGAGCCCTCACCTCTGTGGCCCTGTGTGATTTTTAAATAGCCTCTGACCCCGTCCTGCATGGAGGAATAATGTGGATGACAGCACAGAGGCAGAATTGCCGCAGTGTTGTTGCAAAAGTCTCTGGCCCTTGCTCATTCCCACCACCCTTTTCTCTACCTTGACTGGTGTGGGCCACGGAGAACAGGGATACAAAATGCTCTTTGCCATCATCTCCCCTCTCTGGGAACAGATTGGTTAAAACACAGCTTAAGATGTTTTGTTGGTTTGTTTTTTGTTGTTTTATTTTTTTTTTCTAAATTGGACTGATTTTTAAGTGTCTAAATGTGATGTAAAATCAGTGTCCAGGGCTCTGCATTTTGTAATAAGTGAATGTTTTGCTGATTTCTTGCTAGAATATCTGCAACCACGCCAATTTGCATGCCTGTATGTGTGTTAGATTGCTGGCAAAGAAATGCTGAATGCTGATAATTGTACACTGGTTTTCAAGCCTGATTTAAGTAATTTTGATTTTTAATTCATTCTGTGCTTCCTTTTAATTTCTGCACATGTGTAGTAATGTCCTGTAGTGTTGTTGCCTAAAATAAGCAGTAAGAAATGTAGTTGAGATGGCCGCTGTAAAGGGAAAATGACATTTTTTCTTTTGATCCTTTTTTTTCCCCCCAGTAAAAGAATAATTCTCTGTATACAGAATGCTCAAAAAATACTGCATTCACTATCTTGCTGCTAATTTATAACCACAAACCAGCATGGCTGTGGGAAGCCTACAAAGCTCAGAAAAGTGATATTTAAAGTTCTGCACAAGAATATTTTTGTTCTCGAGGAGCACTGGGCAGCCAGCTCTCCACACCAGGGGTGCTCAGCACCTCCTGTGCTTTGGCATCCAGCTGTGTGAAATCCTGGTTGAGATCCTGCAGTCAAATTACGTTAGAAGATGAAGAAACCTCTGTCCATGTGTTGAGGAAAAGGAAGAAAACAGGGTTCTATATAAATAATGTTAGTTCTGTGTGATAAACCCAGGGTGTTGGTTCTGTCCTTTCTTCAGTGAAATCCTTGAGGTCATGGATGGATCAGCAGTGCTGGGAACCTCAGTTTCACCATATGTCTGTAAACACCCTAGCAAATTATTAAAAGATGTGGTTTTCTGGTTTCTTTTGATTAGGAATCTGAGAAAAAGGGGCTAATTGAGAGAATCTACATGGTCCAAGAGATCATCATAACTGTTCAAAGCATCCTGGAAGAAATAGCATCGTTTGGAGAGAGGATTAAAAAGTAAGTAATTTTTTTCTTGCTTGGCTGTGATTTGAACTGAAGCAGAACCAGGAGGATCAATTGTCTTGCTCCAAAAGTGCAGCAGGATAAGCTGGCCAGTCTCACCACTGCTTAATCTCTTACACTCCTTTATTCCAAAAAACCTTTGCAGAGCACAGGGGAGAGGAGAAGCAGTGTTCTTTACTGATGTAGCTTTCAGGTTTGCCTGAATTTCTGGTCTTGCTTGTTTGTGTTGGGGTGGGGAGTCATGGATGCCACAGATGCTGCTTGAAGATATGGGCACAGAAGCATCAGGCATTTCCTTTCAGTCCCATCACAGAAAGTGGGTGCTGATGGTCAGTGGTGCCTTTCCCATGCCCTCCCCACCCTGACCTGGCTGTGGGGGTTGCCAGTCACTTGTGTCCCTGGCCAGAACATTGATCTTCTTCTGTCTTTACCATTTTGAGCTGTCTGCTTCCTGCTGATGCCACGAGGAAGCCCAAAGGGGATTCTCAGGGCCTCATGGCAGGGGGGGGAGACACAGAGGATATTCCTGACCTTGCAAAGGAGGGAGGTGAAGAGCCTAAAAAAAAGTAAAAATCCCACACACAAACACACACAAACCTTTTATAGCTCAGTCTTTATTGGAGCTTAATTGATCCATGTTGTTGTCTGTTTTGAACACAAAGTGATGGTTTGTGACCGAGCCTCACTTTAATGAGGAGCTGGGTTCAAGCTAAAAATACAGCAACCACATGTGCTGTGGTGCCTCACTGGACATCCCAGCTGGGGTGGAAGTGGCCCAGAGATGTATTCCAGTCTATGAACAGGGCACTGTTCTGCCCAGCTGCATAGCAGGAAGACTCAAAGCACTTAAACACTGTTAATTCTTGTATTCATTTTGGTAACAATGGTCTTAAAGAACACGTCGGGTATTAATGTGGACGCCCGATGTAATTTCAGAAGAATTCTGTTGTAGCTCGGCAGTGATGTGCCATTAAAAATTGCTATCAAAGTTTTTTTTGTAAGTGACAGACTGAATTGTGCTACAGTTTCCGTCTGTCACTCCAGTTACACAATCATAGGGAGTTTTCATAGTTTAACTCAATTGAGCTGTTTTGCTATTTTTTTTGCTTTAACTTAAGCTACATTGATTGATAATGATGGGTCCTCTCCCACCTATTTTTACTTAATATTTAATACGTCTATTGAAGCTTAAATGTAATTCTTGAAGCGTCTTATTAATTTTATCTGTCAAGGGAAGTTTGTCTTATTTTATAGCCTGATAAGTGGTCCAGATTCATTCTCTCTTCTTCCTACTCCCCATCATTGTGATATGATGAAGTTAGCAGGCAGATTGTGTGAAGCAGAGATGCCCAGATCCATAAATCCACCTATGGACTAACAGGCATCCTTGTAGTCCAGGTATCTCAACATTTGGTGCAGGGCATAGGGTTATGTCTTACAAGGGCACAGAGGGACAAAGTAATTTCCAAGATGTGTTAGCAGTGGCTTCTCACCTTCAGTCCATCATTGACTTGCAGATGAGAGGTCTGAGTGAAAATCCTGCTTTTCTCTACAATGTGGCCAAAGTCTGAAATGCTGTAGTAACCGAGCCTTTCCAGAGTGCTTCTCTTGGATTGTTGAATTGCAGAAGCTTGGGCTGCTGATGGTTTATTACAGCTTATCCAAGCCAGCCTCCTATATTCAGTGTAGTAAAGAATTGCTGAAAATGTAAAGGTATGGGAGAACATGTATATATATGTGGACAGATGTATATAGAATAGTGTGGCCCTAATGTTATACAGAGAAATTACTCGAACTGCTTTTTCACAGTTTGGCATCATAATTAATCCAATGCAAGTAATTTGATGGGGATGACTCTGGCTACCTGCCATGCCTGGGTCGTGCACTGGCCACACATCTCGTGCCATCTCCACTGTGGCCCAGAGGAGCTGGCTCAGCCCAGTGTCCAGATCAGATAATCAGCTCATGAATAATGGAGAGCTGACTGGCGAGCAGAGATGTGTAACAAGTGCGAACACAGAAGAAGAAACAAAAACAACTCACTTAGACGCCTAACAACTTCAATGAGCTCCCAAGGGCTCCTCTTCTCTTTCCTTATCATGATGTCTGTCTCTCAGATATCTCCCTTAATCCATTATAACATCCAGATGTAGGAATCTGCTTATCCGCCTTCCAAAGGGTCTGCAATTTACAGCATATCTGAGCACTGCAAAGAGGTCATTAAATTATTATTGGGTAGCAGAGCACAAACAGTGTCCAACAGAAATGTTGAGAGGGATTGTGTTTTTTCCTTACAGCACATTCAACTGGACGGTGCCTTTCCTCTCTGTCCTGGCCTGCTTGGTCCTGGCAGCAGCAACAGTTATTTTGTATTTTATACCACTGAGGTACATTGTTTTAATCTGGGGTAAGTACTCCACTGTGTCTCATTTGTATGAGATAAATACAGTATATGTCTACAGAGTGAAATCAAACAAGCTTTAAACGACCTGTTACAGAGACAAACAAGTGCTGTTGCTTAGAGGTGAATAAAGATGCTATGAACTTCTTAAAATTACCATTTCTCCCCCCTGGGTTATCCGATAATTTGCTTTTCTTAGGGTTCTTTATAAGTTTCCAACAGCACCACAAGAAGAGCATTAGCCTAGATAAGCTACTTTCAGTGTTATTATTCTTCTGCAGGAAAGTAATTAGTTTCCTGGTGCTGGAGCCCTCCAGCTGGGAAATGGTAGGAAGTGGACAAGATGTGTTTGCAGAGCTGGACCATGTAGATTTGGGAGCCTTTTGGGTCTGAGTATCCTGGCAGTCAGGACAGGCTGTGCCCAGTGGGACACACTGAGCATCTCCTTTTGTCGTGGGTCAGAAAGTATTTGTGTGAAGATACATAATGAGCTAAAAGAGAAGCTTTTAAAAAGTAAAACTTTCCTGTTGGCATTATGAAGAAATGTGAGATCATCTTTCACAGAAAGAGGTAGCATTGAAGGGCATAGAACTAAGGGGAATGGTTTTAAACAGAAAGAGGGCAGGTTTAGATATGAGGAAGAAATTCCCTGTGAAGGTGGTGAGGCTCTGGCATAGGGTGTGGCTGCCCCATCCCTGGAAGTGTCCATACCCAGGTTGGACAGAGGTTGGAACAGCCTGGGATAGTGGAAGGTGTCCTGTCTGTGGCAGGGATTTGGATTGAGGTGGTCTTTAGGGCACCTTCCAACCCAAACCATTCTATGATTCCAGCTGCTGAAGACTTTCTACATCTCCAAATGACCTCCTGTCTTATTTAGGGTGCTAACTTTTATCTCAGCCCTGAGGTAGAAAGTGTGGAGAACACAGTGCAGGTAAATCCTCACTGACCTGCAGAAGCTCAGCCCTGATGTGGCTCTGAGTTGTAGGGACCCCCTGTCCCCCCTGGGGCTGAGCCAGCAGCTGCTGTCTTGGATGTCAAAAAGGGAGGGAATGAGAAGGTGGCATTAAAAAAAAAGCCATTCTTGGGCAACAGCAACAAAGAAATAAAGGATTAAATAAAAAAAAAAAATAAAGGGCAAAAGGAAAGGGGAGAAATTGCTCGAGTAAGAAGTTCAGTAACAAAATATTGTTGTTCTTGTATGGAAGACATGGTGAGTACATGAAAACTATACATCCATTCAACATCATCTGGAGTGACAGGGCCTTCAAATATGATACATGTTAAACAACTACCCTGTGGCAAGGCCTCAAAAGACCTTATGGTATTTTCTGTTTTTTAAAAATCAGGTACACAGAAAATTGTGTTGTCATTTTGCTACAAGTATATGGCTGAAAAGCTGAATCTCAGATGTGAAGCAGGTACATTTCAGGGAGAGGAGAAGGCTGGAGCAGCCATCACATTTGAAATCACTTTGAGGGAAAGCACTATGAGATTTTGGACAGGGGCATGATGGAATTGAATGCTGTGTTATGATCCTCAGAGGCAACCAACATTTAAATTTTTTGCTATTCTTTAAAATGGGTTAGCTGATTTTCTTCACCTAGAAGACCTTGAGAGGCAAGAGAAGACCTTATGACCTTCACAATAATGTGAACGTTACACTCCCATGGATCTTCTGTCCAGACTAGGGACCACCTCTGCCAACTGAAGCTTAACTAAGTCCATGGAGATGGACTGCTATTGCTGCAGTTAATAAACCTAATTATTCACACAAAGACCAAAGTAAAGCAAACCTTGTGATAAGGTTTTACAGTCTCCCACAGCATCATAGTTTGGCAAATGTGGCTCTGCAAAAAGGGGATAAGCCATGAGGGATGGGGAAGGGAAGCTTTCATTTTCTGAAGAGATGGAAGGAAAAAAAAGCCTTTTTCCCAATTATTTTCAGAACCTTCTGGTTTGTCATGTAGGATAGCAGATTTAACAGCACACCTGGTTTTCAATGTGTGTATTCTCCCTGTAGTATCCCACAGAATGAATTCATGCTGCAATCACTTTTCACCACGTTGTTGGCAACAGATGATCCCAAAAGTAGAGAAATACCTTTATCAATAATGTCCTCTACTTCCTCCAGGAAGCACTTGTGAGATATTCCATGTGACAGGGAACATGTGTGTGGCTTTAAGTCTGAGGCACTGTTTTCACACTAATTTTTACTTGTGAATTCCCTTTCCCTTTTTCACCTTGCCTGAACAAATTTAGAGGGAGGGAGTAGAAAAGAGTCGTGTTATTTTGTTTGCCTTTATTTTTTTTTTTTTTTTTTTTATCCTAGGCATAAATAAATTTACTAAGAAGCTTAGAAATCCCTATGCCATCGACAATAATGAGCTACTAGATTTCCTCTCCAGGGTACCATCTGATGTTCAAAAGGTAAGTAATGAATGGCCAGAGCCAACAGAGGCAAGCAGTGACACTGAGAGCGGCTGGGTGCTCCGTTTGGGAATACAATGCCAAAGACTTTTGAATAACTGTGATAAGGAATCTGGGGAAAATCCACAAAGGAAGGGGGAGAGAGTGTTAGAAGAGAGGGGAGCCAAAATCCTTTGTGAGAAGGATAAAATGATTGCAGAAAAAAATTATCCTGAAAAGACCTACTTAAAAATGATCTGGAAAATCACTCAGCGTGGTTACTGAGCTATGGTTTTTGTCACCTTTCTGCTCTGGTATTTGTACAGAAGGAGGAGAAAAATAGTCTCTTTGATAGAGATAACCATCCAAAAGGATTTGCTGAATTCTCCTTTTTCTCAAGATAGGGGAGGAATGGGGGGGAATTATTTCTGTGACATTGTGCTTGAGCTCCAGGCCTCCTTTGGACAGTGCCCTGCTCATCTTTTTCTTTAAAGAAAACCCTGAAATGTGTTTAAAATACTCTACAGTTGATCAGATCAATCTTCTACCATTATGGAATTATAAGTTTTAATCTAACCAGAATCTATCCTCCCTCAGTTTCAGTCAAGTCTTGTGTCTTCTCCCATTTCTTTGAAACAACAACATTGTCTTCAGCAATCTCGCCTATCTCCCTGGAAATTATTTGAACTATAAATCCTTTCGAATGTCAAGATCTGTTTATTTCTCTTGGAGGAGGGAAAATAGTCTTGCTGGGTAATGAAGCCACACGATATAAAGGATTCTTTCTTTTGTTTTAGCTGACTGGAATCTGTGTCCCCAGGCCCTGATCCTGATGCCCAGGATCCCTCTGACATTGTACCTTTCTTTGTGAATCGTGGCACTTCCCCTGTGAGGTGCTGCTCACTGGGAATGAGGGAATCACAATCTCATCTGTAGTGACTTTATGCTGTTGGAGGCAGAAACTGAATTGCTCACATGCAGTGTTGAGGCATCTGGTAGGAGCAGGGTTGGAAAAAGCTTCTGGTGACATTTATCTCAAGAGGCCACCAGACTGGTTGGTGGCAGCACTAATAACTGGGGAGATCTCACTATGGACTGGTGGGAGGAAAAAGGCTAAGCAGGAGCATTCATAGAGCCATTAAGCTTTAGTGTATTTTTATTTGTTGTCATTGCTCTTGTAGAGGCCACTAGATTTGCAGTGATGGTTTGCATGTGCCCTTTAAGTGTTTATGTTTAAAGATAAGCTGCTTTTCTATTTATGCTTTATTTAACATTTACACTTACAACATTTCCTTGAGTGGTTTCTATCATATTGGGATCCTTTGAGCTCTCCAAGGAAAATGATCACTGTTTTCTATGGGAAGAATGATAAAAGTTCCTTGGATGGGACAAACCTTGGAGTTTTCCACTAGTGCTGAAAATAGTGACAGCCACACACTTTAGGGACAAGTCATCCATGGAAGCTCCAAAGCCCCTCTGTCTGCTTTGTTTTATGGGCTGTCAATGCATCAGCATTTCACTGGGGTGCTGCCGTGAGTTAGAAATTACTCCTGTCTGTACAGTACCCATTTACAGCCACATGTTGGACAAAAGACAGAGGAGGAGTGAAAAAGATTACATGTTGAGCCAAATTTCCCCCATGATTTCAGTGGGAATACTTTTGTCCCATACAACAGACAATTTGGAGATTACACTATCCTTCACAGTTTACCACATATGTTTTAATCATTATATTGTGTATTAATTTGTTTTGAAAGGTGGAGGTAGGTTTTTCCAGGTTCTGTTTGGGAGAATACTTTCCTTTTCTGAAATTATTAAGTATTCAGCATCCCAGGGTCTGTGTATGGTTTTGACAACTGTGATCTTACTGTCTATTGGGATCCACTTGAATGGAGACTCCTGAGAGAAGTTTATTAAACTAATAGGTTAATGCCAGAAAGATAAGAAAAACAACTCCCAAACCAAAACAAACCCAAAAGATTGCTGAAATCAGGTAGAACCCCATGTATCTCATTAGAAAAATCTGCTTTTAATATTTTTGTTTCAAGAAATGATGCATGACTTCTCAAATCCTTCCTGCAATTAATCCCCCATGTTCCTGTGTTTAGAAAATGATTCATTACTTTTGAACCTTCCTTAGTTTCCCTGGGTTTGTCCTGGGGGAGCCATTAACACACGCTGCAGCGAGCTAGAGTTACCTAAGTGCAAACGTCATGCCTGTTTGTTTTCACAGGTGCAGCACGCTGAATTGAAACCATCCAGCAGCTCCAGCCCCATCAGGAAGAAGCGGAGCACACTATAGGATGCAGCAGGGTTGGGAATGCAGCACCTCCCTCCCTGCACAGGCGTGCACACACGGCTCCCCTCCCCTCCTCCTCGCTTCAGAACAACACTAGAGTCACTGCCACAGACTTTCTCTTTCTTGGAAGATGTGGTTTTTGATAAGCGCCTATCTTGGGTTTCTTTTCTGGGTTGTCTTTTTGGCGTGGAATCCCAAAAAAGAGCAAGGTGAAACGTGAATTAGTTGTGGGATGGGGAGGAGAATGGGAGAGGATGGTGCAACTGCACCTTTTATTTTTCTTTTTTTTTCCCCCCCTTTGATTGCAGAGACAAGGCTGGATGTGGCAGCACTCCCTGTGTTATGTAGGAAGAGATAATTCTGCTTAGTGTAGCAGATCAGCTGAGCTGATGTGAGGAGATGCTCTGAACCAGTTTTTAACATATCCAACAGATTTACATTAAGATATGAAAGCTATTCTTTTCTGAGTTAAATCACTGTGCCTAGAAAGGTTTAAGCTCTGAATTAACGAGTCTTTGATACCCATCTTCTGTTCAAGCAGTGTACATTTTAAAAAGTTTTTTATCATAATTAGCAGAAAGAGCTAGGAGCTCCAACGGTATCTCAATATTTCATCCAGCACTTGTGGGTTTTTCTTTTTCCTTTTTTTTTTTTTCCTTTTTTTTCCCCCTTTTTTTTTTTTTTTTTTCCTTAAAGCTCAGCCTGTGGTTAACTCTTTGTATACTGGAATCATCGGAGATCCATTGCTGGCAATGGATGCACGAAAACCTTATGCCATGAAAGGATTAAGAGAAAAGGCTAACTCAGTGACCTGAAAAGACTCTGTTGGCTTGCCTTTTATAATTCCATCTCATCAGATATTTTCAGCATAGCTGTTGTTTTCCTGTCTAAATCCAGAGGGGTCAACACTACAGATCCAAGAGAAAGAAACGAATACTTTATAGCCTTAAAGAAACAAGTGCTTGTGCAGAAAGAGGGCACGTGCCCAAAGAAGAGGTTGTGCAATAGTGTGCAGGCTTTGGTCCACCACTGATGTCTTCTTGCAGTCTTTCCTGCTGGTTCACAAGGAGAGGACCCAAAAGTGAAGCCAAGTGAAAACAGCAATGGAAAGACAGAAGAAAGGACCCCATTTTGTGTTCTGTGGAAAATGTGATTTTTTGCTTGCTTACCAATCTTTTAGCAATTGTGCATTTGCTTTATGTATTTCAGAAAACCAGCATTAGACAGGTTGTTTGACTGGGGAAACTAAAACACAGAATCATATGTAAAACCTGCTTAATTTTGGTGATACTGCAGCTCTCGGTCCTTTAGGTGCTGTGAGAGTGATTTTGGGAGTGATTTTTCACCACAAGTCATTGGTAACACGAGAGCTGGAGTTGTTGTTTATGATTCCCAGGCAGGGATTACCACCAACATTCCCTGGGGTAGTTGACAGTACAAAGAAATACAGAAACCTGAGAGATAGGATTCTTTTTGGGAAAAAAAAAAAAAAAAAAAGGGGGAAGAAAGGAAAAAAGGCTTTGAAAGTCATCTAATAAAAGGTAAAATGGTTAAAACCTTGCTTATGGATTGGTGATCCAGATGGAGCTGTGTGTGGTTCCATAGCACAATCTTGTGGGCCAGGAATATGAAGAAGGAAGACTAACAGCAGACTATTTTGCACTGGGTTATTAGCCAGATTCAGTAGTTTTTCATAAGTTTATTTTTTGAAGTCCCACTGTGCCTTTGAATAAGGACAGGCACATTTTCATATACTTGATTGGCTAAAGAATGTATTTTGCTCATGCAAAAACTGTGTGTAGCTGCAAATGGAAGGATTGAGGAAAGATTATCCTGGTTTAAAAAGCCACAAAAATGCCTCTTTGTTTGCACGTGTGCTTGTGTACCCATGCATATACAGAGTTGTGTATAAAGAGTACATGTATAATGTATTTATAGGCGAGTGTGTGTGGGAAAATGGGTGAATATACAGATTTAAAACCTTGAAAATGTTTATGAAAAATGCCAAAGATTCTAAAGCTTATCATCTCGCGTCTGTTCTTCTTCATTTTGTATCTTTCCCGGCATGTCTCTCTGGCTGAGCCAGATCTCTGCATGATTTGATTTACTTCAACTTAATGAAGCTGGTTGGAAAGAGCCTTGTAGAAATTACAAAATCTCCAGTAAATCTCCTTCTTGTACATACAATAGACGTCCACGGAACCCTTTTGTTAAACCAGTTTCTCAATCTTCTCTGTAAACAATGCCTCATTGTCTCGCTTAAAACTATCATCTGGTTTATCATACTGTAATCTTGTCATTTTGTAAGGACCAAAGTCAGGCATATTTAAGCAGGCGTGTGGGATCTGATTGTTGATTTGAGTGAAAACATTCAACTGCGGGAAAAACTGTTTATTTATTCAGAAATTCACATTGATACTTTAGTAGTTTGAGGGGTTTTTCTTTAGGTTTTTCCACGTGGAACTGATTTCTGTTCAGGTGACAGGGTGATATCTTTTTCTTCTTTTTTTGGTGTAGATATGTTGGGTTTCAGAATAATTTGTGTTAATTGTTACGCTGGAGACATACCAAATGAAGGGATTTGGATGGTCCAGTACCTATATATGTTGTGATGAGCTCTTTGTTTTGATAAATGCTGTTTGAAATACAATAAATATTTGAGGTTAAGATAATGCTTTTAATTTGTCTGGATTAGGAGATATGTTTCACATTCCTTGCAAAATGCTGTGCTATAATATTTAGTATCTGACTAGGTAATCAAGGACATCCCTTGGCAGTGCAGTGTAACAATTCACACTGGAGTTTGCTTGGAGTAAGGAGTGTAAGTGCATCTCCTGCTGCAGCAGGAAATGAGGTAAAGCCTCACCTCACCTGCCTACAACTCTTTAGAGGGATTTCTTAGGCTCTGCTTAAAGGAAAGGAGGGTTATGTTACTGCACAATCTGCTTACCAAACTCTATATATTCAGATTTGTTATGAGATTCTTAAAGCAAGGCTATCTTTCTGTGTCCATTTCCCCTTGCAAATTATCAGTTTTTGCATTTTTAATCTATTCAATGTATAGCATAGAAATTAAAAACTTACATTTTTACTTCAAGGTACTTGTTCCAGGGCACTTGCAATCTAAGGTCTCTAAGACCAGAACTCATTCAGAAGTTCCAGTCTAACTTTGGGTCTTTTGGATTGTAGAATCGTGGAGATTTAGGAATGTGAAGCATGTCCACTAACTGTACAGTGTGTAGATAACTGGGTTTGACATGTATGTGCAAATGCAGTATTTACTCACATTTGCCCAAACATAAGGTGCTGCTGAAGGTTTGGTTTTTTGAATATTCATGAATAGGACCAAGGACTTGGCTTCCCTATAGATCGTTGTTAGTAAAAGTCAATCACTGAAACACGCCTTGTGGGAAGCAAGCAAATAACTGAGTAAAGCACAGCTGGAAATGCCACACACCTTTCCTTTCCCTCTGCTTGAAAATCTCTGATTTTAACCTTCAGCCACAGCTCTGCTTCCCTCTCAGTCCCCTCCTGAGCCACCCACAAAGCAGAGGAGAGCCCAGGCTTTGTCCTGCTGCCCAGGGATGCCCCTGGAGAGCCCTGCCCAGCACCATGGGAAAGGGAAGCTGCTTGTCCCCTAGAAATTAAACTGGCTGCTGCTAATTCCCTGCCTGGGGTAAGAGTACAACAGCTCCCTGAACTGGGCTGTCCCACTAGAAAACAGAGGCTTGCCATTTAATTTCCTGTGCTCTCTATGGGGCTGTGTTTTATTTTATATTTTTAATTTGGTGGGCCTGATTCTGCAGGCGCTACCACAAGTGGAACTGGAGTTATTTTCCCATCAGACCAGTGGGTTCACACCCGGAAGGAATTTGGCTTCTCTAATACCTTAATTAAAAAATTGACAAAATACATTCTAACCAAACCTTAACCTTTAGATTTTCCATCCTTTAACTAAGCTGATAGACTGTTTAGGAAATGTTGGCTTTTTAGCCGTAGAGACTATGGCATGTGTTAGTAATGAATCCTGTTCTGATTTTAATATTGTATGTTGTTTTATCTGTAAAGCTGCATGTGTCAGGGCCCTGGTGCATCTATCCCTGTAAATCTCACAGAAGCTTGATAAGAATATCTGCTCCTCTGCATCCTAAGATATACCAACTCAGAAGGAAGCTGAGATGCTCCAAATTATTGTTGATTTGTTGCAGATAGGCTGGTTTAATCATCCTTGAATTTGGGTAAATTAATCCAGGTGAAATATGATTTGGGGACAAAGTATCTGCCTGAGAGTTTATCAGAGGGGAAGACCCTCAGCAGTGATTGAGTAATTCAAGGAAAATGTGAGCAAAAGGTATATTTGTGATTAATGTAAATATTCACCAGCACTTAGAAATAGTGTTGTAGTGAAAAAAAAAAAAAAAAAAAAGAGTCTCTTGACATTATAACATTTTTAATCTGCTTTTCTCTGTGATGCTTTGACTGAAAACAACACAGTATTTCAAGAGAATTTAGAGGGCCACTTGTTTTGCATGGAAGTTGTGCTCGTCTGACATAAATCTTGAAACTGAGCACAGGGAAGCAGGAGATGGCATCCAGGTCTCAGTGTTTGCAGCAGCACCAGCACCTGGGCAGGCACAAGTTCAAGTTCTCAGTGTGGCTTTAACCTGAGGGCTGGTGGTTCTTGTTAAATTTTGCGTGAATGAACGTTGCCAGTCGGTTCCTGCGTGTTGGATTGAACACCTGCAAACTCCCTCCTGGCCGAACATGATGGTGTGCCTCTTGCAGGGGAAGAAAGTAAGAGCTGGAAGACTTGCTGGTGTAAAATTGGTGCTGATGTCCTAGTGCAACCAGCCTTCTAAACTCTGCAGAAGGTAGGACAGTCTCATGGACTGGGCACATACATCTGGGTCTGGGTCTTAGAGGGCCAACCATGGTCAGGTTTAGATGGTCAGCAGATTTTGCCTCTCACTCTTAAATATTATCTGCTAGGATGGCTCAGCCAGCACATTTAAAGAGTATCTTTCAGCCCAAGAAGGACGCATAAGGCCCTGGCCCTCAGTGGTTTGGGGCATAGATCAATGGGTATTGTAGAGAATGCTTCCCCAGGGAACTTAGGGGCTTCTTACCTGGGGATCTCCCCTCCCTGCTGGATTTATTGTGGTCAGACTTTCAGCAGATGAAAGAATGAATTTTTTTGCTCTTGATTTCTGCATTTTGGTAAGTTGCTTTTATGGTGGGATAAAACATTAAATGTTCAACTGTCATCTACAAACTGAAGGTGATAAAACCTAAGGACTTGGGCTTGCCACTTCCAAATGCACAATCACCTCAATTCTCCTTCAGTCCCAAAGGATCCAAATGCCTTCAGGACAGTGCAAAGTCTGCTCACCCGTAATGTTACAGTGCCTTCAAGGATGCTGGTGAATACTTCAATTTCACACTCAGTAGTGATAAGTGAATATAAGGGGGAGTGTCTTAGTACACTACTCTTTATTTCTACCCTGTTGTTTTTTTGGTTTTTTTTCAATGAGATCACATGAAAAGAAACAAACCAAATTATTTCTGTTTCTTGAGCAAACTGCTAGTTCTATCCTAGCTACTCTATGTGGAACATGGGATTTGACTGGTCTTTGATCTCTCACTGTCACATAGGGCAACTGATTTTATGGGCCTGAATCTGTGCACAAACAACATATTTTTCACTTGCTCAGTACTGCCACCTCCCAAAGTAAATATCTCTATTCCTCATTTTCAAGAAGAGATGCACAGTGGAAAGAGCATATGTTCCTACAGACAAAAAAAGCCTGTTAGATTCAGTGAGTTGTGTGCTAAATTTTGCTTTGATCATGGCTGTCTGCTTTCTCCCTCCATCTTCTGTCTGCCCATGGTCGGCTCCTTCCAGAGTATCTGAAACCACACAGCAGCTACAACCTTAGAAGAAGGGCTGGGAGGGGGGTGAAGTCTCCCTCCAGCTCTGGCAAGAGACGACTTTACTGAAAGTCAATGCCATTCCCTTGCATTTATCACTGCCACTCTTGCTCTGCATATTTTTGGTATTCGCCATGCATTGTTAGCAGTGATTGTCATGTAATTAAATCACTGCTCATCACAAGAGCCTATTTTTATGCTGAGATAAGCATCAGAAGTCTGCTGCAGCGTCCCCCAGATCAATAAAGATGTTCCCTGTAGGATTACAAATAGTCTGGGGTTGTACAGGGCACTAGAATTAATTAGGAATGATTTCTCTTTTTCTTTTTTCTTTCAATACATTTTTAATTGTTTATCCATTTTCGATGGGCTTGTTTTTAACTCTGCAGTGATGGCCCAGATGCTTCTGTTCAGACCTTTGGAGTAGGATATGATGCCAATTTGGGCAATACCATTTCATATAAGCAGTCACAATTATCATCATCTTTCCACAGCCATGTGTGACTGTTACTTCAAAATATGTTTTTGAGTGAGGTATTTGCATCTCAGGCTTTGCACTTGAG